TGGATCACATTCGGTCCGTGTTGTTTGTAAAAGTGTATATGAAGGTCGTGTAATCAGACACACTAAGCCTACTTACAAATGCTAAAAAGGGTGTTTGCGCCGTCATCCTTGTTTACCACCAGCTCCCAGCTCCTCGTTGAATTGATACGTTATTTAATGTGTTTTGTATCATTTTAATGTGTACTTACGCTGTGATTTATGACGTCCACTATTATATTTATTGCATCTTTAAGTATAAAAGAAGATGTTGGATTGAATAATTGTATTTGCAGTGATAAGATACCGCTGGACCATGGCCACGAAACTTGGTACATAAATGTAGAATTTAATGGAGTAGGTTGAAGCACCATCAATTTCGTGATAAGTTTCAGGGCTTAGCCCTGGGACCGTTTTAAAAATACCCATGTAAGGGATTTTGAAGGAATCTGAGTTAGATCTGTTTACTAACAAAACATATGCAAGTAAAATTTAAAACAGGCGATGTTTAATAGTAAGTTTCGTTCTCCCTTGGTTTTTAAAGTTTAAAGATTATTAGAATAATTTTATTGATATATTTTCATGAAATAGTAGGTTGATTACAATGTATGAATGTTTTAAAACTATTTTGAACCTTTTTGACATTTTGAGAAAAAGGAGTGGTTGTGTTTTCCTAGAACACTATTTTCAATTAGCCAAGAAGAACGTAGTTTACATTTTGCTTCTAAAATGCATTTAATATCTTTAACTATGATTTTTTTACTCGATGGTTAGTATTTAAATACCATTAAATATGGAACGTTTAAAATAATGGTTATGCATCAGGCAGTCTTATAAAGTAGCCTTGCTTTATATAACAAAGATATTTCATCAAACCAAGAGGTCCAATTGAATTTTGTTTCTGGAACCAAAGGTGGATGTGGAAGTAGGCTTACTATGTTTTACAACTGGTTTAAAGGACAAGTGTTTTTTTTCAGCGTTTTCTCCGTTGCGAAGCATGGGTACATCAACTAGTTTTAACATCTTTTTTATATACATCTTTTAATGCAAGGCTTAGCTTGTCAAGCAAATGCATTTAATGTATCACAAATAATTACATATAAATCAATCACTTGTACAACTTTGGCCACAAAATTTAATTAAAATAAAATCAGAAATATTTTACTATTGTTTAATATATTTTATTGTTTCAGGAGGTTGAAAATAGGTGGATTTATTTGGAAGGGAAATTTTGATTTGTGCCATGACATTTAAAATTATAAAATTGGTAAACTGTTAATGTTGAATGTAAATGAAGTTAAGTTTAATGCTAGAAGTGTAACATTTAATTATTAAACGATCCTCTATAGATGGTGGTACTATTACACTTTTAGGTTGTCTGCCTACATGACACTCCAACATAATGCATGACGGTTTTATATAGAATTAAACTGTCAGAATATGCACTGTATTGCTTACAAAAGTATTTACGTCAGTTTTATTACAACCCTAAATTATCTACAGGGCCAAAAAAATGATAAAGATGCGAAAACTATGTGGAATATCGAATATGTGATGCACTAGAGAGTCCCCAATGTGGTTTTCACGGACAGGTCCAATTATTATAAATGAAGCCATCAACTAGGCGCCGCTCTAAAAAACAAGCGTTTATGTCTGTTGTTTCATTCTCTCTTCTCATTCCCCAGATCTCCTCGCAAAAACAGCTACAAGCTTTCTATTGTTTACTCAAATATGGTGTGCTTCATTATACTATGAATGTCCAGTTATGATTATTCAGTTAGTTCTGCAAAGACTTATTTTAGTATCTAGTGATCTAAGTCAAGATAGAATACTTACTTGTAAGGTATATTTTAAGTACCATAAGATACGTATACTATAAGGTACTATTTAAATTTCAATTGGATACAAAATGTACCATTTACAACGAAGGCGATTAATTTGTAATATCTTCACTCCACTGGCGAAATGTATATTTAGGCAAATATTTGTATGAGGATTTAGCTAAAACAACACTTCATTACCTTCCAAATATAACAAAATTTAAGTTTTCGTTAAACCAATTGTTTGTATATTAAATAAATCAGGCATGTTTAATGAATTTTTTGTAAAAGTTTAATCATGAAAATGTAAGATGGTTTGCTGTTGTGGTGGTATTGTCCCACATCACTGGCCTTCAAACCATGCCAAAATATAATTTGTGACCAAACTAATCAATTAGTGCTCGATATACATTTCTTCCTACATATCGAAAACAATAAACTTCCCTGTTAAGTTAACAAAAGTACTACAAAATCAACTACACTCGACCACTGATATACGCAGGCTGTCAAAACTACCGATTTGTGACCGTACGAAACCATGTCCCGCACATGACAGTGTGAAAGCGTACATGTTCTAAAAAATCTAGCCATCCGGTCCCGTCCCGCATTGGAAGTTAAGGTTCGTGCGGGTGTGTTTTCAACGAACAGAGGTTTATGACTGTCCGAGCGAACCCGCACTGGTGTGAAAGCTCCCATATGATTCAATAGTCTAAACAGCTTCGTCCGGTGCGGGACGGTCCCGCACCACCGCGCAGATGTGGTCAGTGTTCCAAGCTAGCTGTGAGCTGTACTCCAAACGTTCCAAGCCAGCTGTGAGCTGTACTCCAAGCGTTCCAAGCTAGCTGTGAGCTGTACTCCAAGCGTTCCAAGCTAGCTGTGAGCTGTACTCCAAGCGTTCCAAGCTAGCTGTGAGCTGGACTCCAAGCGTTCAAATCTAGCTGTGAGCTGTACTCCAAGCGTTCCAAGCTAGCTGTGAGCTGTACTCCAAGCGTTCCAAGCTATCTGTGAGCTGTACTCCAAGCGTTCCAAGCTATCTGTGAGCTGTACTCCAAGCGTTCCAAGCTATCTGTGAGCTGTACTCCAAGCGTTCCAAGCTATCTGTGAGCTGTACTCCAAGCGTTCTAAGCTGGCTGTTATTTGACCAGGACTATTTATTCAGAGCTAATCTAGGCCTATATGTTAATATATATATATATATATTTATATTTATATATATACATATACACGTATATAAGGTCAAGGACAATCAGGTCCAGATTTGAAACATCATTGACTCTCAGGATCGAGCGCTATAACGACTCTGCTTCTCAGCTATAGTGCATATTAAATTGAATTACGAAACGAACTAACAATCATATGTACCTCTGAAATTGCGTAAAGTCATACGTAACCGAAGATTTTTGCGTTTTTAACAGATCTCGAATATTGATGCATTTAAAAGTTAGTTAAACACAGTAATTATTACATTTTGGTATCTGTATTGGCTTTCCTTAGATAAACTAAAAATGTTGGTACTGTAGATTAAATTGAAACAATTTAAAAAGCACTATCTAGTATTTTTAAGACAGACTAAAAATGTTTTCAAGAATGGATGAATACAATTACTTGCTATTTTAGAAAAAAAGTATGAACCAACAACACTTAAAAGGATAAAAAAAAATAGACATATTTGTCGAGGAGCCTTTGTCCGTATCCCAGTATGTGTACAAGTTGTGATTTTCGTTTTCCTTATATTTTACCTAGAACCATTAATACAAAGAATGTCTATTAAATTCCATTTAGAATCAACAATTCAACAATTGTACGGAAAGGCTAGTTGTATTGGCATTTTATTTGGCCTACTTCACTAAAGTAAACCTTTGGAAACAGCTGACGGTTCGTAAACAAAGTGTTTCGCTACGAGCCAGCAATTCGCATAGCTTCATGAGTTGCAGTGTAGATGTAGAAATGAATGGCGTGCTAGGATCTTAATACATGTGATTTTTTCCTGTAGTGGATCAACTAAAAGGAAAAGAACAAACCTCTCGAATACTGATTGAGTTTTAAAAATCTAACAAGGTGAGATTTCCCTTTAGAGCAGTCGGTATTACCGTAGTCTCCATGGTAAGACCTATGTGTGGAACTACATCACTTTCAGAAGCCAAAAACACAATTCGATTACATTTTATACGTAGGCCAATGCGTCGGTGTGTTTCCGCAGGGCGTGGACGAAACCAAACAAAACTCTTAAAAGTTTGTCAGAACATAATTAATTATATTTGGTGTAAACTCACGTATAATAAACGAAAGAGTTTGTAATCCAGTTCAACCCGACCACGGAAAGGGATATTTTACTCAAAATTTAACTTAATAATTTCAAGCAAATAAAAAGTAGGCTTCTTTAATTTTGTTTGTACTTAACAGACGAACAATTTAATTATATCGTTTTAGTGTACCTATTTCACATCGAGAAATTCAAAGTGCCAAAAACCACCAATTTCATTTCAATTCTCCACAAAACCATCTCCTTTCATAACTACTATTGTATCTCATGTTATTATCCTTTTATAACATAAATTATTTGTTTGGATTAATGATGTGCTATTGGTGCTGGTGTATATTAGCATGGAATAACATATTAGATGGCATCTCCCTAGTATCCAATTAAATTTTAATCATATTATGAATGGACTGATTAACATTCCTGATCATTTGAGATTGTTGGTTCGATCTATCACATGTTAAATGGAGCGATAATTCGTAGTTATAATATTTTTCTTTATCTTGATGGTAGGCATCCACGGTAGGTCTATAAAGTACACTGTGTAATCTTGTTCGGCGAAGACGGTGGCCAAGATTCGACATGTTTTACTCCGTTGCCATATTTTGGGTTTGTATTATTGGATTGGGATTGCATCATTCGGGTACTTTGGTATTGTACGGAGACCACTTATTTTACAGCACGCTGCGGCGGTTGTGTTAGGTTAGGTTATCATAAATATGTTTGTAGGACTCTCCTCGTTTTGTTATGAATCGAACGATACCAGATGAGTCTTTCTATTTATGATAACCCAGCCTAACATAACCACCACAGAGTGATGTATAAGTGGCCAAAGTACCGATTTGCGTCACAAGATTGTTTACTTTTAAGATGCATATCTAATAAGCTAGGGAAGTATCTGAATCTGAGCTAGGGAAGTAATGTATTGCGGTTGTCTGTTGCAGCTTCACTCAGAATACAGAAGCACATATCGCTGGCACGAGTACACTGGACCTAGACAAGAGATTATCCGCAAACCACCCCAATCCCAGCCCCAGGGTATGTACAACCGATTTTACATATTTGTTTACAGCTTAAACTTAATCAACGTTGATTGCTAATAATTAACGACGTTTACAGTTTTAAATTTCTTCGCAAAAATCAATGATGAAAACTGTTGAATAATATGAAATATGTTTTCTATATGAATATTACAGGAATATTTAGGAAATCTGTAGTAAATGGTACATGGTATCCGGGCTAAAGGTATCGAGAAATAACTATCCTTTGTGATATTAAAATGTATTTCTCTTTAAATAACTATGCTAACACCATAAATACAACCAAGATTGGTATCTTATTCAGTAAAGTTCAATGTGATCACCACAAGTCTCTTTCAACTGCAGCCACAATCACTGTGCCTTAGTTCCCGTAAACTTTGCACTCTTAGCTGGCACACAATATCTGGGTAAACCTCATCATTAGGCTGATTGTCACTTTACTGTATTGGCTAAGTTGTTGTTATGGCCCGAAATTATTCAGCTTGGTCACATGGAAAGACTGCATCTATATTAACTTGCAGTTTTTAGTCATTGTGTTTGAAATTCGATCATTAAATGTTGTTCACAATCTTGGTTTTATTTATGATATGTTGGCATATTAATTTTAAAATACAGTTACGTTTTAATATCATAAGAGATAGTTATTTCTTGATACTTCTAGTTCGGACACCCTGTATAATACTTTATTTATAAACTGTGCTAGTTAAACAGTTTAAGCTTAATATATTTGCTATAATTACTATAATTATAATTTAATTATAATAATACTAATTAATACTTATATTACAATTATACTAATTATAATTATATTAATAATAATAAGTATAATTCTAATTTGCTACAATTATAATTTAATTAATTATACTGTACGTAGTTTTCTAATAGGTATACTATACAAAGGTGCATGAATAAAATTATATATTAAATTTACGCTACTATTGGAAACATAATAATTTTGCACATTGGCCATTATCTCTCTGTCCAGATAAGCAATCTTTAATCTTGTTCAACTATTTGCTATTTTTCACATTCCTTTGTATAGTTCATTGTTGTTTGCAAAAATTCTTTAAAGTTTCCTTGAATTAAAATATATATATATAAATAAACAAATAAAATCTGCTTGGACATCACAATTATAACCTAACTTGTACACCACAATAATATGTTATGCTCAATTTGTAGGTCTGGTCAATAAAGATAAAACTAATAGTTATATTTGCATATATTGGTATAGTAATGAATGTCTGTATTTAACATTTTTTCAACGAATTGTTGTGTCTTTGACACTTTATTTCGACAATTATTTAGAAATGGAGACACAAGACTTACTGGCTAATTGAGATATTGAGTTAAGAACACAATTTAAAATCAAGGATACTAGTAAATAATTTTGCATCCCAAATATATTAAAAACATTAGTTGATTCTTCTGTACTTTAATAAAATCCAAAATAGTTTTAAACTTGATTATTTAAATGACAGGTTTAACTCGTACATTAAATTATTATTTGTCAGACTGGAGATGCTTTAAAACCATATCCAACCAAGGCACTCGTTACAGTTTGAGAAGTCCACATACGGGCACAATAGCTTCCCATACTTATTTGAAATTTATATCTATCACTTTAAGTGCTCACATAGTTTTTGGAATTTGCAATGTTACAAATCAACAACTCTAGTGGAACTGATTGAACCATGTTAGTCATGTTTGATATCTATCTAAACGTAGTACTGTAGTGGACACTTGTACTTATTATACCAGACATCAATATGTAGGCCTATGACTAGACATAAATATAACAAATCATTTTGCACTTTCCGTCTAAATGTCGCATGACACGAGTTGGTGTTTTATCATAAGTATTGACGACTAATGATTTGTATTGAGGTATTACTTGCATCGTAGTCTAATTATACGTATTCATGTTTTAATGACTCGTATTGATGTTTCATCACTCCTTATTGCTATACAATGGCTTGAGTTGATATCTAATTAATAATATTGATGTATAACGCCTCGTTTTGATGTCAAATGGTTTGTTTTTATTAATGGGGGTTTTTATTAATTAGTATTTAATTAATCACTTCGTATTAATGGGTATTTATTTGTTTTGATGTTTAACCATACAGTACTTATTGATATCTGATAATACGTAATTATCCTTAAACCATAGTAATAACTACAAAACAACCAATTTAGCTTATTGCTCTCTCAGTGCCTAGTTGCATGATATTTACGACGCTGATTAAGATATTCACATATCTGCTATTTTACCCCAAACAAACAATTTGCTGGAGACCTGGTTGTTTGTTGTAGGATCGTCGGCTCCAGCTAGGTTCCCTGATGAAGATCTACAGAGACCTGACGCCTCGGCAGACCAACCTGCAGGTAAAGAACTGTTTGCCACTTAGTACAACCTGTATTAGTAATAGTATGTATACATACGGTTTACCCCAGAAGCGATTTAAAGCAAGTGTTAAAGTGAAATCGAAGTTTTACCATATCTGTTTGTAACTTTAATTCCTACATTTAGAATACGGATTTTGTTGCACATCGGATTGATATGTACCATGTGTCATATTTTTATTGTTTTTCCTAACCAGTGAACAAAACACAAATGATGAATTAGTGGTAACCCCAAAAATGATGGTGACGTTTTCAAACAAGAAATCTGCACTTATTCTTTATAGTACTGAAGGAAAATTAGTCAGCCGCATAGAATGTATTAAGTAAATAATTGGGGAATCGCATTACAATTTAAATCATAATCTTGAAATTCTTTATTAGTTTAAACTGTCAAACTATTCTGTTGAAGAAAGTCTCTATACTGGATGAATTTTATAAGGCCCAGAAGGGATTGTTCGTTCAGTAGGTTAGTGTTCACGATGTACTAAAAACAACTCAGACATTTGTGTCTACAGGGTCCATTGAATACAGTACCGGGACTGGTTCACTGTAGCGGGTCCTTCACCATACCAAGTGACCAAGGCACTTTAGTGACTGGACACCTCTATCAAACCCAAACGGGCGGACACCCCTCCTCTGCTCTTATGAGGCTACGGTGAACCAATCCCGATACTTATTGAATTGAGGGTGTAAATGGGATGATTTTAGAGATTGAAATATTTAATTTGAAGACATAGTTAGGAATGGGGTGCCGTAGTAAGTTCTTTAGAACTAACAGAATAAACCTGTTTTGAGTCGTCGCTGACGTATAATCTCATCTCCGACCTTATAATCCTCTGTGCATGGCACATTTATGTTCAAGCATACAATATGCAACTCCGTACGTTGGCGGGACGTACAGGGTGCAAAAAATAGTTCTTTTATGGTACAAGCCAACAGTTAAAAAAATAACGAAAATCGAAGAAACTGTGTTGCCAGTGTACTTTATTGGTTTATTCCAATTTCTTTGCGGAGATTAACAATGTCTCTCTTTGCATTATAATCGGCAATTTTGTATTTGTTATTTCCATATTAATACTAAACTGATATCAAGAGTTACTATTGTAGACCAATCGATGTATTGTAAGACTTGGGTGAATAGGATACGGTTTAGGATTTTATTTTTAAATTGACCGAAATCCCTACAAGGTGTTCGTACACATCCCCATACTAAGTAAGCTGTCTAGAGGCACGCCTGGTGGCTAGAGATCTTGAAGCCTTGGTCAAATCGAGTCAACTACCAATCGTTGTAACTATTGTACCCTAGTGGTGTTCGGAGTGCACTTAAAAATGAATTTAAAAATAGTTATTCAGGCGAAGACAACGCCCTCTATAATAAAGGCACTATATGTGTTTTCAAACATAAAATTAGTTGATTGAAACTACTTTAAAAACAAATCAAATAGTGTTTCTAAAAATAAACACACTACTAGTTCCATCTTATCATGTCTTCAACCAACAACAAACTTTAATAATTTTTCATCAGATTTCCAAACAAATTTAAAGTATGGTACAACGAATTTAGAACTTGATGTTACCTATTCTTTGTTTACTGACTCTTCGCAACTACCTGCTTAGTGGCTGATTAGCAAGCTACTTCGAGATAAGAGCGTGCTTATTAATACCACAGTAGATAAGCGACAGTGCCGCTATGAACGGGTCTCCGCATACAAACGGTAAGTTAACAAGCAAACTGTAGTTGTTGTAAAATAAAATTGTTGATGATTACATCTAAACACTAAACCCAATAAGAAATCACTTAAGTAATTAAGTTGTAACAGAATATCAGTATTTAGTGATACATGACACCATAAACAACGCCAGCATTCACATATTTAGTAACCTTGATTTCCCCACTAGAATGCGGTTAAAAACGTCTTTAATAGTGTTATTTTTCTGAATCTATAACAACTTTATGATATTCAGGAAAATAGACTGTCTATAGGTAAATTTTCTAATACAGGATGGGATTACTGTTTACGATATTCGCTAGTTCCATGGATTAGGGTGAATATACTGTAATCCTACTGATAATTAATAAATTTAAATTTCTCAGGGCCATATTTAAAGATGAATTAAATGACTAATCAAAAACGTAGTTGTATCCAAAGACGTTATCAAGATAAAATCAAATACGTGCCTCAGAATTACTTGATAATCGGTCGGTAAACTTACGTTGTGCACGTTTTCCATATTTTATTTTCTCGGTATGCGGTTGGGCCTGATCATGACAGGTGTAACTGGGCTGAATGATGTAACAACTCATACGAATTATCACAGTATCGCACAATTTTCATGTCATCCGTGAACCAACGACATGGTAAATGCTAATCAACAAGTTACCTCCGACAAAAGTGCTCACGGATATAATGTGAAATACGACTTTTAACAATAAATGAATATATAATTTATTTACTCCACATAAGATTGTTAAATAGTTTCAAATTTGTTCAAAGATGAGACGAAATGTAAAATACATTTTATAAAAATGGGATATTAGAACAAACCATGCTGTGGTTTTAATGTTGCAGAAAAACAAAACCTACCAACTATACATTTTGTAGCCGGTTTGAATTTTAAATTATAGTGTGCGAAATTAGCAGACATAAAAAACTCTGTATGTGTGTCTCCTGGGCTGCTGTAATTTTTCATTATCTTTTCTGATTTATTTGATTGGTTGTAAACGATGGTGGAATAGTTGATCCCTAATCGACTTTGGATTTTTTTCTATGGTATTAAAAAAGGAATGCGTGGGTCTACTCAATATAATTAAAGTTATACCGAATGATTTTCCAAGATGGTGAATATATCAAATATGTTCAATGTCAATGGTAATCGATTTCCACCAGACATGTCGTCATTACAAAGGCTCACAAAGATAAAAGTGGATAACATTTGGCTACGGCACATTTAGAGACTATGTCACCACGACTTTTCTTCTTGCTAACTGGTCTCTGGATTTTCAACCTTTCAATGATATAACTTTAAGCATACCAGTAATAATATAATGTTTAGATGTTACATTCTATTTGTAATAATTGTGTAATTGATTACGGAAGTAAATAAGACGCTATGAAAGTTATTACATGTTTTTGGGTTAGGCCTTAGAATACATAGATATGTTTTACCATTTATTTAATTATTATACATAATAAGAGTAAACATTTAAAAAAATTAAAACATATACAGTTACAAAATTGTAATACCCAATTTTTTTTAATTGGGCACGTAATAGTTTTCATCCACTTACCTGAATACACTTTTATCAAAATAAATGTGGTACGGTTAAATCTTGTTTCTAAAAAAAAAATGTTGAATCACCGTCTAAAATAGCCAATGCTAGTATTATCCTGTTGCTATTTATTTAATATCTAAATACCCCCGCCGCAGCAAACCCGCAGACTAAGCGAATTACAATTTGTCTGATTGGATTTTTCTAAAATATGTCCATAAATAGACATAAACCCCAATTTAAATAAAATTAGGTTTAACGAGTACTTAGGTTTGCTAATACTGGGATGTTTAAAAGTGTTATTTTGACAAAGTAGTAGCAGCAAAGATGAAATAAATAAATTGTTCAAATTTGATTACGACTTGTCGCCTAGTGTGGCCGGTGCAGTAAGATAACATGGGGAGCGTATTTGTCGCCGCTGAAAGTGGTAAAACGTAAAATACAGATATTTCCAGCGACGAAATAATCTTTCGTATACATCTATGAGATATAGCCCTTAGGGATTAAACCCTTAGGTAAACTTCAAGTATCTTCTCTTCTGGTGCAATAGGAATCCGACCGAAACCTGATGTATTTTTTTCACAATGCCGTCTTCGATGTTGTTAGGGTCTGATAAAAACTAAGTATTTAGGAAATTGACGCCATATCTGTGTTTCGTCTTCCTTTTTAGATTTTTAATAAATAGCAACACCTCCTCCTGACTCATTGAAAAGTCATCCTAACAGTTAGAGTAGAGTCACCTAAGTGTGGGCCACCTCTTGCTACCAGGTCTCGGTGACCAAGTCGCCTAGTGTGGCCACCTCTTACTACCAGGTCTCGGTGACCAAGTCGCCTTGTGTGGCCACCTCTTGCTACCAGGTCTCGGTGACCAAGTCGCCTTGTGTGGCCACCTCTTGCTACCAGGTCTCGGTGACCAAGTCGCCTAGTGTGGCCACCTCTTGCTACCAGGTCTCGGTGACCAAGTCGCCTAGTGTGGCCACCTCTTGCTACCAGGTCTCGGTGACCAAGTCGCCTAGTGTGGGCCACCTCTTGCTATCAGGTCTCGGTGACCAAGTCGCCTAGTGTGGCCACCTCTTGCTATCAGGTCTCGGTGACCAAGTCGCCTAGTGTGGGCCACCTCTTGCTATCAGGTCTCGGTGACCAAGTCGCCTAGTGTGGGCCACCTCTTGCTATCAGGTCTCGGTGACCAAGTCGCCTAGTGTGGCCACCTCTTACTACCAGGTCTCGGTGACCAAGTCGCCTAGTGTGGCCACCTCTTACTACCAGGTCTCGGTGACCAAGTCGCCTAGTGTGGGCCACCTCTTGCTATCAGGTCTCGGTGACCAAGTCGCCTAGTGTGGCCACCTGTTGTTACTAGGTCTCGGTGACCAAGTCACCTAGTGTGGGCCACCTCTTGCTACCAGGTCTCGGTGACCAAGTCGCCTAGTGTGGCCACCTCTTGTTACTAGGTCTCGGTGACCAAGTCGCCTTGTGTGGCCACCTCTTGCTACCAGGTCTCGGTGACCAAGTCGCCTAGTGTGGCCACCTCTTGCTACCAGGTCTCGGTGACCAAGTCGCCTAGTGTGGCCACCTCTTGCTATCAGGTCTCGGTGACCAAGTTGCCTAGTGTGGCCACCTCTTGTTACCAGGTCTCGGTGACCAAGTCGCCTCGTGTGGGCCACCTCTTGCTACCAGTTACCTAGTGTGGCCGTAGCTATAATAATAGTCACCG